TTAAGGGCTCTTGTGGTTTTCCGGTAAGATAAACATTCGAGCAACTTTTGAAAATGAATAAATTAGCACTAGCCATAAATATTAGTATTGCAATTTTACTATACACTACCGTTCAAAAGTTTGGGATCAGTACGATTTTTTATGTTTTTTAAAGAAGTTTCTTCTGCTCATCAAGGCTGCATTTATTTGATCAAAACTACAGAAAAAAAACGGTAATATTGTGAAATATTATTACAATTTAAAAGAAGAGTTTTCTATTTTAATATACTTTAAAATGTAATTTATTTCTGTGATCAAAGCTGAATTTTCAGCATCATTAATTATTAACAGTTGTGCTACATAATATATATATTATTTTAATCTTTGTAGTAATAATATTTATAAAATTATTATTAATAATATTTTTTTCAGGATTCTTTAAATAAAAAGTTAAAAAGAACAGCATTTATTCAAAATATAAATATTTTTTAACAGCAGACACATAGGGGTCAGTACATTTTTTTTCTTTTTTTTGAAAGAAGTTAATATTTTTGTTGAGCAAGGATATGTTAAATTGCTAAAAAGTGATTGTAAAGCCTTATATTGTTACAAAAGATTTCTGTTTTGAATAAATGCTGTTCTTTTGAACTTTTTTTTTCATCAAAGAATCCTGAAAAAAGTATCTCGGGTTGCAAAAAAATATTAAGCAGCACAACTGAAGCAGAACAAGATACTTCTTTAAAAAACAGAAATCTCGCTGATCTTACTAATATTAAGTATTGTAAAAATACATAATTTTTAACATTACTATTGTACTATTGCATGTGTGTGTAATATTAGTTTTGTGTAATATTTTTTTGAATTATAAATTTATATTTTTTCTTAACTTTTATTTTGCAGTGAAATATTTCAGTAATATTTCTTATTTTGTTTTATGTTTTGATTTAGTAATAATATTTTTTTTAAATCATATAAATTGTTGTTATAGTCATATTCATACATAATCACGAAATTATGCTGCCATTTAAACAAGCACAACAAACCTGAAGCCGTTTTTAATCACATTTACAATCGCAATCACAATATTTATCAGAAAAATCTTGAAAGCACTTGAATCACACAGTTGTAAGTTTGTAAGTTTGCATCTGTACAAGGTAACATAAAACGATTTACACTGCTGCTTTTTGGGAAAAATATTCAAGTCACAAGTCACTGCAGTGATTTCCACAGACTTACACTCTATGTGTGGCGGCACTTCCCCTGGGGAAAATATATATGTATATAATGTAAATATAAAACAGCAGACGGGCTTATTGAAAGTGCAAATTCATTCTCTACCAGGAGGAGGCGCTTTAGGAGCGGCAGAAATAGCGGTTTCCCCGGTAACGGCTGTAATCAAAGCAGCGCTGCGCTCATGAACGCTACTTTATCAGGCATTATAGGAAAGATGAAATGAAAATGACATCAAAACTTTTCTGAAGACAATCGCTTCCCTTCAAAAAAGATACATTCATATAAAAACACCCGTGCCGCGTTTTGATTTTGAAACGTGCAGTGCTCATGTTTATTTAATGAAGTGAAAGCCTTTTGGAAAATCTATTTGTGGCGGCCGGTCAGTGTTGATATTGTGACGGGCCGCCACAAATAAATCAATGTATGGGAAACCCTGCACTGTAATGTTGATTAAATGCATAAAATGCATTTGTAACCCTCTCATTGTTGTAGGTTGAGTACCAGGCTGGCTCTGGTGGCCACCTCCTGCCTCAGAAGTATTTGAATGATCTGGACGGGGCTCTAATTCCCGTCATCCACGGAGGAAGCTCCTGTGTCCCCCATCAGGCCATGGACATGGAGTTTTTCTTCTACATCTCACTGAGCATTTGAAAGCTGGTGACTTACAAACTTTGCATCCACAGGCAGCCATTGGGACCTTCACGACTGGTAGCAATGAATCGCAGATACGGAGAGACAGACTTCGTATCTGATCTCTGACAAGGTATGGAGAGTTTGATGCATTTTAGAGGAACTTCACTGAAGTGGAACTATATTAGCGATCCTTTAGAATAAAGCAGAGGTCAGCAACAAAAATAAAAACGTGAGAACTTTGCTGTGCTTCTTCGTGTTTCCAGCGTCTGTTCAATGGATGCCGGTCGATGAATGTTGGTTTGAATGCGAACAGAATTGTTTATGTATGACTATGATGTCAGATATACCAATAATTATAAATGTTACTTGATTGCACACATGGCAACCGTGCATATGAAGTGCTGCATTTCTTTATGTCTGTTTTTTCTGAGCTGGAATCTGCAATGTTTTTTTCCCATCCGTCATAATTTACTGTTACCTTATGAAGTAGCTTCACGTGGACTTAAGAATCCATATGAAGGTTTTATGTACTGATTATGTACTTTCTAAGTACTGCATCTTATGGTTAGTCATTTTTCTCAATCTGTAAAATACACATATTTACACTATAAAACATATAGATGAAATCATCTGCTAATTCAATTAAACTTTTATTAAGCTTAAATACTATTTTTGGAACAGACAGTTCATGTGTTGATTAAAGGTGATATTTTTGATAGGGCATTGAAATTACAAATTAAAACTCATTCTGCAATTATAACCCCAAAAAATCTTATGAAATGCTTATGAAAAAATTGTTTCACATCACATATATTTACCAAAAAAGGAGTTCAGAGTAGAGATAAAGGATGATGGGATCATCTTATGAAAAGATTTGCTTTAACATTTATGTAATTATTTTCACACTACTGCATTAATTAAAGAAAAGGTCATTTATTGAGATCTTTAAATGCCTTTCTTTTACTATTAGTTTATTTTTACTGGACAAACTGAAAAACAGCCCCATCTGTTAACACTACAAATGTGTTGTTGGTGTGACCAGCCAGGAATTGAAGAATCCTTAGAGCTTTGAATGTTGGCCTGAAAAAATATCAACACATCTGAACACTTTTACATGTTTTTAAATTTTTTTTTAATTTGGTCAACCCACCATGATGAAAGTTAACAAGGCTGCCAAATGTCCTTAATATACTACAGACATTTAAATATCTGTAACGTTTAATGGGTTTGACAGATTGAAGAATCTTTTGAAAACTCTTTCCTTATAAAATATGCTGGATGGTGTTTCTGAATTAAGTAGCCATTTTATAAATGCAATAACCTTTATTTCTTTTACTAGACTTGACTGTGATCCTACATTTTTACATTCAGCTTAAAATGTACCTTAAACCTGCAAAACAAAGACTTTTTTTCCCCTCAAATGAATTCTGATTATATTGATGCCATTAAATCATTCATTTTTAAATGCTGCATCTTAACAAAAATCTAAATTCATTAATTTGCAAAATGCACTTTTACTGTCGCTGGTGAAATGAAATACAGGACGAGTGATTGTTTCTTATTTTTTATTCATTTTTTCTTCATAGTGATAAAACACAACATAAACAGTGATGAATCATTTTTGATATATTGACTGGTATATTTAAATAATCTGAAGGCCTCTATAATTCTGTCACAAACCAAATACAAATGTTCTTAAGATAAAGATGATTGTTGTAGAAGGATTGAGATTAAATGTCTGTGAAATTAGTTGAGCATTTTATAGACATCTCAGATCTTCTCCCATATAATTGGGCTTTGTGGAGTATTTTGGGAGTTAAATTATTTTCTCACTGTTACTGATTAATTAAATCATCACAATTAAAGTATTTTTATGCTTTACAAAAAGCTGTTAAGATGTACCCGTTTGCATAATGTATATCTATTTATTCTTGAAAACCAGATTTATTAGATGAATTATCTGGTATGGGACCTAAGGATGTTCTTCAAAACAACATTCATTTCTAATATGTATCTCATGTAGAATAAAATTTTGATAAATATACATATTCATTGTCTCATGCTCATTTATGACATGTTTCTAACAGCCTTTTGTTTTGTCATTTAGATGAAGTGAGATTTTCTAAATGGGTGATTTGCTGCAAATTTACTGCTCACATTATAGAGTTCTGTTGTAATTTTTTATGTTTTAAAAGACATTGTGAACATCAAACACAACACACAAGCAAAGGTACAGTATGTCCTCGGACGTAACAACAGTGACTCAAATGTATTACGAATGAATTTGTATGTTGGCAAGCTGAATGTCTATGCTAGTAATGCCAGCAGTTGAATGGTGTATTTTGAACCTACAAGTCATTTTAATATTTTTGTATCCTGTTTTCTTAGCTATTGAAGCTCTAGCCACATTCATAACCAATTGTTTCTATTAAGTCGTATTTGACTATAAAGGTGCGGTCACATCAGTGAAATTTCACAGGCAAAAAAAAAAGGACCATTGTCAGTAGTGCAGAGATGTATGAAGCACTGCTTTCACAGAAGTCGCTTTCAAACCAAGCAGATTTACGTAACCTACTTGAATGTGTGAAATCTGCATGGGTTCTTCACGTGAAACTCAAATGCCGATTCCTATGGGAATGACTGGATTTCGTCCATGAAATTTCAAAAAGCAGTAGTAAATGTGACCTCACCTTAAGGATGCATGGTTAAAATTGTTTTGGATTAGATTGAAGAGTATAGATGTTATTTGTTCCGTTTCAGTGACCAGCAATCATTTGGTGTCAGTGCAAATTGATGCCTTTGTTATGGTCAAAATGTTTATAATAGCAACCATTCAGTGTCCAAAAATTTCTGTGAAGTCACCATGTCGCTTGAGCTGCTCGGTTTGCATGGAGTGTCTTCTCATCAGCATCCTCCTGGTCTTGAGATCCTTTGGAAAACCTGCAGGAGCCGAGGGAATGCAGGGCTTTGTCCCTGCCGCTATGCCACAAACTGCTTTGTTGCAGGAGCTGATGCTGCTTGGATTGCCACTTCCAGTGATATTTGGAATTGGTGTATGCTGGTTCAGCGGAGGGAGGAAACCAGCTCGAGGATGGGAGATGGGATCCAAAAGCGGCCCAGAGCCCCGACGCTCGTAGCCGATGGGATTCCTCCTGTGCAACTGCGTCAACGAAGTGCTCTCAAGAGATTCCCTGGAGCCCACCAAGGTAGGTGAACGCGAGTTAGCAAGTTTTCTCTTCTCCAGCTGTCCTTTACGGTCTTCTGGAGAGTTGGCGAGGCTCACCGATAGTTGGGAATCGGAGCTGTAGTGGTCCATTCCTAGTTTCCTTCTCTGGATGATGTTGCGGAGACTGGACACGGCCAAATTTGGCAGGGATTTGTCCGGGTACTTCTCAGCCGGTAAAGCTTCAGCGCTGCTTTTGCAGTGAAGATTGGGATGGGATAAAGAGTGCAGGGATGATAAGCTATCAAAGGACATGTTTCGGCACAGTGCTCCTTCCGGTCTTAAACCTTCACCATTTCTTCCTTGACTTAGAGTTTGACTCAAAGAGTTGGTTTCTTTCAAATCAACACTGCAATGCCGTGATAGTGGTGTGTTGCCAAAAGCCAATCTGTTCATTCTGAAAGTCATTTCCTCTTCAGGCGTGATGTCCGGGAGTTCCTCCGTAGCGGAGGTGCTTTTGGCGTGCTGTTGGGCCAAGAAAGACTGTGGAATCTTCAGCCATGGCTCGGAGTGTAATCTCTGGAGATTGTGGATTTTGCTCAACCGACTGTTTACCAGGGAAACCTGGTGGGATGGAGAAGTTGGCTGGGAATTAGTCATGCTTCGGAGGTCCTGGAAGGAAAACATGTGCTCTGTAGGACTAGAAGAAAGAGTCCCCTGTGGAGATGTACTGAGGAGAATATCAGATGGAGAAGCACAGGGAATGATGTTGGAACTCAGCTTGTCCCATTGTTCCACCATTGCAAGCGGAGGAATAGGTAGGTGCTGTTTCGCCGTTTGCCTTCCGCATGCCAGTTTGTCAGGGGTGATGATGATGACCTCTTTTCCTCTGGCTTTGCAGGCATCCATCAAGATTTTAAGAGTTTCTTCATCGCAGGCATTGATGGCGTATATCAGAGCTGAAGAACCGGTGTGGTCCTCAAGACACGGATCCGCCCCGCTACCCAAGAGCAACGCCACTACCTCAGGACCGGCTTGCTCCAAACAGGCGTGCATTAGAGCCGTCTTCCCACTCTTGTCTTGGATGTTCGGATCAGCACCACTTTCAAGCAGGTACCCAACCATCTTAGCCTTCGAGACACTTTGGTGGTCCATATGCCTGCTCCTGCAGGCGACCATCAAGGGTGTTTCGCCGCACTCATTACTCTCATTAATATAAGCGCCGCCTTCCAGGAGTAGCCGTGTGAGACGAAGACGACTTAGGTAGACGGCCTTAAGCAAGGAGTTGCCATCAGTGTTGACAACTTGCGGACCTTCCATCTTCACCTCTTTCACTGTGACTTGCACCCGATGGGGATCACGTATGTTGCCATGACAAAGCCTGTGAAGAGGGGAACAAGGTTAGGTATTGCATGGTCTTTGTCACAATGGATGTATGGAAGACAGTCCATTTGAAAACCTCTTCTTATGGAAAATTACACACATTACATCTACAGAATGGAAGTCTCGAGTAGCTTTGAATTATCTTATTGTGTTCGCCTCGTTATTATATGCTTGATTGGTTGCAAAATAATGAAATGGAGCCAAATGCACTTTCCCACTCTCTGTGTTTCTTTATGCAGTCCTGCTCAGCAACAACCTCCTTTTTTGTAGAATTACAGCTCTCTCTCTCAAGCAATTTATTTTTTGAAAAGCTAAATTCAATAAACCGAAGCAGAGACCTTGGCTTTATTGTTTGCCATTACTGCCAGACAACATTCTTTGCGCTGCCTGTCCTTTTCAGCATGAGCGCAAAGCTTTGCCTTCCTCGCACTTTCTTTAGGAACAGCATCTTTCTAAAGGCCATTGTGTTTTCTGTGCTTGGTGTTACTTTCTCAGAGCGCTGACACACGCCTGCAGAACATCATGCCTCTGATTAGGGTTTATAAAGTGTTTTTGAATACATTTTAAGTCAATTGGAGAGACTGTAGGCACTTATGTAAAGAAGGTATAGATACTGTATTCAGTTAGCTTCGTCCTACATTTGAGAGATGCATTATAAAGAAGTCTCCTCGCATTTTCTAGAAGTTACTTTTGCCAAACCATTTGTAATTTATTTGTTTTTGCAAACTATTCTTATTCTTGTCTCTAAAACGGACCTTGTGAATTAAAGACAAACATTTTGAAAACAATCATTTCCAGACATCCGTACAGCTTCCATGGTTCTCAACTGGGAATGAGACCTTTTCATAATTATTTTTCAAATTTGCATGTGTTAAAGTCAGCATAAACACATACACACTTTTTGCTGTGTCGATGCACATTTCTAGTGTTATTGTGTACAATTCTTGAACGTTGGCAAAGAAACCATTTTCACCCACGAAATTGCTAGTAAATTTCACAATTGATTACAAAGAAATAGCAAGCAAGACATTAAATTAAACATAACATTTTGAAGTAGTTTGAAATACTACTTTGAAAAATATTTTTTGTACAGTTAACGCACATTCCTGGTGTTATTGTGTACAGTTAATTAGTACAGTTATTTCATAGATAATTTCAATGCAATGCTTTGCTTCTCAAATGACTGTCCTTTTCAGCTGA